TAAATATGTTTTTATATAAATGTAAAAACGGTCAGAGTAAAAATATATTATTGTTAAAGAAAGAAAATGCATTTGAAAGATTCATATACACATAAATAACATTAAGATATTTGTAGTAAAATGTCCAATACAAAATGTAAATACATAAATAATATTAATACAAGTTTTATAACAACATCAGAAGTTCAGGTAAAAATGTGCACATACGATAGAATATATATATCATATATTTATTTTATATTTTATTATGAATTTTACATGCACCAAATCCCACATTAGTCTGGGTCTGCTGAGGTGTTAAGATGTGATCTAACCCTGTTGTAAAATGTTCACTTGCAGCCAGGCATGATCATTTCCTCACCTGTGCAGCACTGCCACCTTGTGTCTTATTATCAAACTGCATTCAAGCAAGGAGAAAGGCCTGCGAACACAACCTCATGTAACTCAGGTTTAGTATCAGATTTGAGTTCTGAGTGGAAGTTCAGAAAATGTGTGAGATTGAGAACAACTCAGTTTTAAAATCCACGTTGAAAGCTAGATACATGGTTTACTTAATATATGTAGTATCATGTGTTATCTAGCCAGAGGTGGGAGAAGTACTCAGATCTTACTTGAGTAAAAGGAGAAGTACTCAGATCTTGTACTTGAGTAAAAGGAGAGGTACTCAGATCTTACTTGAGTAAAAGGAGAAGTACTCAGATCTTGTACTTGAGTAAAAGGAGAAGTATTCAGATATTGTACTTGAGTAAAAGTACAAGTACACAGTTCTTGTACTTGAGTAAAAGTACAAGTACCCAGATCTTGTACTTGAGTAAAAGTAGAAGTACTCAGATCTTGTACTTGAGTAAAAGGAGAAGTATTCAGATATTGTACTTGAGTAAAAGTACAAGTACACAGTTCTTGAGTAAAAGTAGAAGTACCCAGATCTTGTACTTGAGTAAAAGTAGAAGTACCCAGATCTTGTACTTGAGTAAAAGTACAAGTACACAGTTCTTGTACTTGAGTAAAAGTAGAAGTATCCAGATCTTGTACTTGAGTAAAAGTACAAGTACACAGTTATTGTACTTGAGTAAAAGTACAAGTACTCAGATCTTGTACTTGAGTAAAAGGAGAAGTATTCAGATATTGTAATTGAGTAAAAGTACAAGTACACAGTTCTTGAGTAAAAGTAGAAGTACCCAGATCTTGTACTTGAGTAAAAGTACTAGTACACAGTTCTTGTACTTGAGTAAAAGTAGAAGTACCCAGATCTTGTACTTGAGTAAAAGTACAAGTACACAGTTATTGTACTTGAGTAAAGTATAAGTACTCAGATCTTGTACTTGAGTAAAAGGAGAAGTATTCAGATATTGTACTTGAGTAAAAGTACAAGTACACCAGTTCTTGAGTAAAAGTAGAAGTACCCAGATCTTGTACTTGAGTAAAAAGTACAAGTACACAGTTATTGTACTTGAGTAAAAGTAGAACCCAGAATCTTGTACTTGAGTAAAGTACAAGTACACAGTTATTGTACTTGAGTAAAAGTAGAAGTACTCAGATCTTGTACTTGAGTAAAAGGAGAAGTATTCAGATATTGTACTTGAGTAAAAGTACAAGTACACATATATTGTACTTGAGTAAAAGTAGAAGTATTCAGATCTTGTACTTGAGTAAAAGTAGAAGTACTCAGATGTTGTACTTGAGTAAAAGTAGAAGTACTCAGATCTTGTACTTGAGTAAAAGTAGAAGTATCCAGATCTTGTACTTGAGTAAAAGTACAAGTACACAGTTATTGTACTTGAGTAAAAGTACAAGTACTCAGATCTTGTACTTGAGTAAAAGGAGAAGTATTCAGATATTGTAATTGAGTAAAAGTACAAGTACACAGTTCTTGAGTAAAAGTAGAAGTACCCAGATCTTGTACTTGAGTAAAAGTACTAGTACACAGTTCTTGTACTTGAGTAAAAGTAGAAGTACCCAGATCTTGTACTTGAGTAAAAGTACAAGTACACAGTTATTGTACTTGAGTAAAAGTATAAGTACTCAGATCTTGTACTTGAGTAAAAGGAGAAGTATTCAGATATTGTACTTGAGTAAAAGTACAAGTACACAGTTCTTGAGTAAAAGTAGAAGTACCCAGATCTTGTACTTGAGTAAAAGTACAAGTACACAGTTATTGTACTTGAGTAAAAGTAGAACCCAGATCTTGTACTTGAGTAAAAGTACAAGTACACAGTTATTGTACTTGAGTAAAAGTAGAAGTACTCAGATCTTGTACTTGAGTAAAAGGAGAAGTATTCAGATATTGTACTTGAGTAAAAGTACAAGTACACATATATTGTACTTGAGTAAAAGTAGAAGTATTCAGATCTTGTACTTGAGTAAAAGTAGAAGTACTCAGATGTTGTACTTGAGTAAAAGTAGAAGTACTCAGATCTTGTACTTGAGTAAAAGTAGAAGTACACAGATCTTGTTCTTGAGTAAAAGTATTCAGATGTTGTACTTGAGTAAAAGTAGAAGTACCAGAGTGTAGGAATACTCTGTTACAGTAAAATTCCTGCATTCAAAATGTTCCTCAAGTGAAAGTAGAAAAGTATTATCATCAAAATATAGTGAAAGTAGCGACAGTGAAAGTAGTCGTTGTGCAGATTGGTCCATTTCAGAATAATATATATGATATGTTTTATAATGATTGATCATGAAAGTGTTCTCAAAGCTGGTAAAGGAGCAGCTAGTTTGAATGACTTTGCAGACTGCAGGGTAGCTGGTGGATAGAAAGGTATCTATCAGGGAATAAACACACCATTCAGTGCATTAAAAAACATATTGTATTGTGAAGTTACTTCAGAAGGTTTTTATGTGTATTGAACATGGTTAGTGTTACTGCCACATACTAGACATGTATGCACTTAATTTCAGAGATAACAATGAAACTGATTACTTTTACATTCATATCTTTAATTTAATATGCCCTTCTTGCACACTAAATGTAAAAATGATCTTACTTTTATATTGTGTTAGCTGTAATTGAACCCTTCAATAGTGTAATATTTGTCAGATAATTTACAGACTTTTATCTTCACGGTCCACTTTTATATTTTCATTCAATTTTGAGATGTTTAAATTGTATAATTGTTAATTTCCTACTCTTTTTTATTCATAATGATGTCTTTGTTTTACACGCTGCTGCAACGGAACATATTCCCAATTTGGGATTGATAAAGTATTTGATGTTGGATTATAGGACCATAAAACCATAATGTTAATAATACAAATAGTGATATTACAAATAATGACAATAATAAACAATAAATAGTAAAGTAAGTAAAATGTCCAATCCAAGATAAGAATAATGACAATATTAATACAAATACTATTAAATATAATAAATAAAACTACTTTCAGGTAAAAACAGAACACATTAAAACATAGATTTAAATGAACAGCAACAAACCAACTAAACACATTACAAAAAAAGGCAAAAAGTAGCAACAAATTAACAAAATCAGGGTTTTTAAACGTGATTTACCGTTTTTTCAATTGCTTAAACACATTTTTGACAACAGGGCTCATTTTCTCCAAACACTTCGTGATGTGATTGCTGAGTCAACATCAAAGCGTGTCCGTGCTTATGTTCATTTGGCATGTGTATTTGATTGGTTCATGTGTGTAGCATTTTTAATAGCAGTGTTTTGAAAATGGCAAACAAGTGAAAATGTCAGATTTCTGTGTCTTACTTAGGCCGTATCTCATTTCTGGGATTTCCCCTCCTCGACTCCTATCCTCGACTCCTATCCTCGTGTCTAAGTCCCGCCCACAGGAGATGCGAGCGGAGGAGCCGAGGAGGGGAAATCCCAGAAATGAGATACGGCCCCTGAGAACCGTGTGCAGTGTTTTTGCAAAAAGTGAATTGCAAATTGGGCGCAGAGCTGAACATGTGTTCTGGGTTTTTAGAGTTGAGCTCAGGTTTTGCGATTTGAGTGTGAGTTTAAATAATTAGGCTTTATGTAAGATTGTTGTGTGTTAGCAACTGAACAAAACTGTAAAGGCCTTATTATGAACGTCCTCTCCACTTCCTGTTTGCTCCTGCAGGGGGCAGCACAGCACTGCAAGATGATTGGACGCCTGCTTCAGAGCACTTTTCTGATTCTGATTCCTGTCAGTAGAGCTGGATATCCGCCTGCTGGCAATGCATTTTTAACGTCGACAATCAACTGGAGAAGTTTCAGGTGATTCTATTAATGCAGGGGTCTCAAACTCAAGGCCCGGGGGCCAATCCCGGCCCGCGACTTCATTTTATGTGGCCCTGCAAGAGCTTGCAACGAATATAATACGTTTATTATACGGTTACATGCCACTTTACATGAGCAGGTTGCCCATAAACTACCCACAATGCATCTCGTTTTGTGACATGTCCACTGAAGAGACTTGCAATTATTTCCCCTGGACTTCTAGTTAAGTAGTTAATTACTAAGTTATTATCCTATCCAATAATAATCAAATTCAGAGGCAATCATGTAATATATATTATATATATATATATATTATATATTTATATAGTTACAACCGGCCCTTTGAGTGCAACCTTTATGCGAATGTGGCCCGCGATGAAATTGAGTTTGACACCCCTGTATTAATGTAATGTTAACTTTCTATGCCTTAAAACATGACCAAAAAAAAGCGTCTAGATAAAAAAAAAAAAATCCCCATTTTCTTTTATCTCAAGAAAGTTCAAATAGAGTTTGAACCGAAGCAATTATCAAATGCTTCGGAGCACTTTGCTGATTGTGATTCCAGTCAGTAGAGCTGGATGCCTGCTGGCAGGTGTTTGACTCTCTACCTCTGCCTCTGTGTGAACGCCTGATTAAAATGTCTCTTGACCCGGCTGTGACCCCTCAGCTCATTGTCTGACAGTCTGCAAACAAACCACAATAATAGAAACAGAAACAGCGTTAAGAACTACCCATATATAATAATAATAAAAATGTATTTATACAGCACTTTTCATACAACACGTGCAGCTCAAAGTGATTTCCAAAAGGACACATCACAAGTTAAAAATAAACAACAAGAACTTTAAAAGGTACAAGCAGCAAAATATAACATTTTATCAGGTTAACGGACACAAGGAGATAAAAGGTATGATAATACAAATAGATTAAATAATGGTTTCTCTCTGACAGGTAAGACACTGAGTCGATGCAACAATATAAAACCCCATAAAACAAAGTGAGCAAATAGGTTAAACAGAAATACAAATAAAAAGATAATAGTAATAAAAAGGCCATCATTCTAATAAAGGTGAAACGATTAAGAAATAAAAAAGACCAACGTAAAAATAAATATTGCTATTGAAGCGTGTTAGATTAATAAAACAAGATAAAATCCTTTAAAATCTATAAAATAAATAAAACAATATAAAAGTAGGTAAATAATAAAGACTAAAAGAACATATAAGATGAACCTGCTCTTATATTCAAAGGCTCGTGGCGCCTCCTGGCACAAACACTTGTTCCTACACATCCTCCTCCACTTTGGAGCTCATTCCCTCATTCGCTCCCTCTCTGTTCTCAGATGAGTGGCTGCAGGCGACGCTGTGGATAAGTGGAGCAAGAAATACAAAGTGTGTGAGAGATAGAATCCATTTAACTCCATTCTTAACTCTCTGAAATACGTAAACACCAGGAGAAAATACTGCAACACATACTGGTTCCTCTGATCAGTCCTCAGTCCACAAACAAACATGGATGATCCACAAGCATGCTGTCATTAAAAAGTCCTTCCTGCTCAGAGGGAGGATTGTGGGTAATCCAGAGCAGTGTGTTTGACATGTGATGAGCTTCACTTGGTTCGGTTTACTTTGCTGTCAAAAGTGTGTGTTTCTTGCTTGTCTGTTTGCGCTGTGAATACATCTTGCTGCCTGGAATTTCAATGTAAAATATGACAGACATCATTTTTTTTTCATGCTCTGGTCAATTTGAAAGTTTGGGATGTGTACACACGCCTTCCTAATGTGGAGAGAAATCATAACAAATACACTGTTAGAGGTTTTTAACCCTCCTATTGTCTTCGTTTCCCCCCTTACTTTGGTGTTCACGGTCAAATGTGACCGGTCCTGTTTTAACTGCTATTACATTAACACAAAACCATTAATCATCACCAAATTTCATATAAACACCCTTTCAAACTGTACATATTGTATCAGACTACTGGTGTACATGAAAAACTGCAGTAAATATATAAAGAACAGACACTGAACATGTATTGCGTGTGCCAGGTGTGATCCATGTGGGGGGATGGGCACATAAGAGAGGGAAATGTATCAAATTGTTCTGTGTGTGTGTGTGCGTGGCCTAGCATTACTATACTTGTGGGGACCTAAATCTGTTTACACAGTCACGTGTGGGGACTCGCCTCCCTTATGGGGACAAAATGGAGGTCCCCATGAGGGGAATAATTAATTTTAGGGTGAAGACTTGGTTAGGTTTAGGTTTAGGGTAAGGTTAAGGGTTAGGGTTAGGCATGTGTTGGTTATGGTTAAGGTTAGGATAAGTCTCCAGGAAATGCATGTAAGTCAATGTAATGTCCCCTGAAGTGATGTATACATGGTATGTGTGTGTGTGTGTGTGTGTGTGTGTGTGTGTGTGTGTGTGTGTGTTTTATCTGATCCGGATGGTTACTAATTCCTTTTCTTTATGGCGGTCATTTTTGACCGGGAACACCATGGTGTTACAAAGTTGACTAAATCATCCAAAATGCAATGAAAGTGGTGATCAGCAATTGTATATGTTCAAATGTCTCCTGTGAAGGATATCATGAAGCCTTAATGCAATCGAATGTAAAACTAAAAGTTATGATTGATGAAAGTAGTAAATCGGTCAGATTTGACCCGAAAACAACAGGAGGGTTAAAACTAGCGTTGTCTCTTTGTGTCGGTAGCTTCTCCCAAATTCACCAAAAGAAAACCACAACATAAAAAACACATTAAAGAAGAATATGATATTTTGGGCTTGTTTTGCAGTTAATGATGGTATAAGACACTCAGATCCTTCAAAGAATTTCCTTTAGAAGTGCAGAAAGTATAGCTAAAGAAAATCCAATGGGAGGCTGCTTTCTGTTTTCATGGAAGAGCCTGACGACCATTCTTTTTAATTGGGCTTTCAATGTGGGGTAATTTGAGTGGTATCACTGTTCATGTTTCTGTGACATAACTCTTTCTGTTTGAAAGCACTTTCTTCATCTTGCATGAAAGGTGCTCTATAAATAAAGTGTATTATTATTATTATTATTATTATAGCTGAATTTTGGAAGTTTGCCTCCATAACACGACGTTCTAGTGGAGAGAAAACATAACTACAAGATATTTAGATGTCGATGTTACTAGCTTTGTCTTTTTGTGTCTGTAAAGCTCTCCTAAATGAACCCAAAACAAACCCCATAAAAGACACAAAAAAGGTAATCTTTGTTGTTCTTATAGCATTTAATAAAGCTTATTTGAAGATGTGAAAATAGGGTCGGAGAAGAAGGACATGATGCTGCATCTGCTGCCTGTTACACATTGAGTTTTAGACCACTTTTAATTGTTTTAATTATATTTGTAATGTAGACAATCAACTGGAGAAGTTCAAGGTGATTCTTTTAATGTTATCTTTTGTCCTCTTCACCTGCAGTGAGTTAAACATGTATTGCATTTTTACAATACCTGTTTTTAAAGGGATATTTTTTAAATGTACTCCAAACACTGAGTCAATAATTCAGCATACAATTCAGCAGCACTTATAAACTGCTCCACTTTCATTCTTAGCTATATTCTGCAGGTTTTTATTATATAGTTTATTCACAGCCTGGTTGATATCACTTTCTATGCCTTAAAACATGACAACAAATCTAACGTTAAAATAAATTGTCTGTAGATACAAAAAAAATCCCCATTTTCTTTAATTTCATGAAAGTTAAAATAGAGATTGAACCAAAGCAATTATCAAATGTCATATTTCTGTAAGGAGAATGTAAATACAATTATTATATATTATTATATTTTGTATAAATGCAAAACATGAAGTTAATTATGATATTTATTAATCCCCTCGTAGCAGAATCAGAGCACTTATATAACTTTCTCCCTCCCGATCACGGAGCTTTTCCCCGGCACACATCCTCACTCATAGCAGGAGAAAGGGCGGGAGGAAGGACACGATAATAATGGCATTTCTCCAGTTCTCTTTACAAACAAAGTGGGAAATCAATAGTCCAAAAAAGGTTGATTTTGACATTTTAAAATCATTTTTTTATTTCATAGACCAAACTGTCAGCGTTGTGAAAAGAGATCTGCTTTGACTTCTGACTTCACACACATACAATTAATACAAATGAATACATTAATTAACATAAAATAAACAATGTTATTGAGACACATAGGTTGGAAATCAAGGGCTACTGTGCAGTGAATTCAAATACATTGGCACACACATCCCTCCTTTTTCTTCCCATTTTGAGTTAGTTTAATACACGTACAAATTCCAAAATAGTTCAATACTATCACGTTAATAATCCAGAGCCTCTTAATCTGAATGTAACTAACTTGCAAATTAATTAAATCAGTTAAATGTGAATTTGATTGTTAGCATTGATTAATTTGTCCTTGACTTTCTCAATAGAGATTAAGTTAATATTGTTTTGGTGAATTACTTCGGCCGTGATAATAATAATGGTGTTGTGTAAATTGGATTTGGCGACGGCCCGTTGTACACATTTTATAAAAACATAACAAAATAAAACTGTATCCCCCCCCCCCCCCATTTCACGGTGAATTTAAGGATTTTCTGCCTTCGCTCTGTGTTTTCCGGCAGACCCTTTGCCGGGAATAAATAAAACCTCAGTCTGAATGTGACCAATGTTTCTGAGATAACAAAGTGAAGTTATCCAGTTCGCTCTGCACCCAAAACACGAGTTGATTAAGACGCCAAAAGAAATAAGATGGGTTACATTTAAACTTTGAACTAACTTAAAAAACTAAGAACAGTTCAGAGGAACTCAACATAATAAAGGTATCTAAAACCTTTGGGGGAAATGTAAGTTCACACGACTTAATCTTTTTAATTATCTTGTACATTTGGGTTGACAGTGATGTATTCTGTAACAGTGAGGAATACAATCCTATAACATCTCCTTTAAAACCACAAAAAAATCATATAGGAGAAGTTTTAAGGTGTTATCTTATAATTAAATATGTTGCCTTCTTTACCCGTAGTGAGATATATATTTGTTGTTGATTTTTAAATTTTAAAACATGCTAAAAAGTATTGATTGAGAATTTAGTGAAATATTCAAAATGCCCTCTTGCAAGAAAAAGAAAAGAAAAATTAACCATGTTATATCAAATGTCATGTTAATGTAAGGTAAATTAATACAAATAAGCGTATTTTTATGATATGTTGTTATATTATTATGTAAGAATTATTTTCATATTTGAACATAACATTTCAGACAACTTGAAATCCAAAATTAAGTGTCCTAAACATCTGAGGAAGATTCATGTAGACATCTCCATTGTGACTTTTCCTCACCCTTCCTCTAACTGAGATGCTAGCAGTAAAAGTGAAAAATAAGGTACACAGAGCTCTTATAACACTATTAATACAACACTGCAAAAACACCCTTTTAAAAAGTCCTGCTTTCAATACTTAATTTTGGTAAAAGTAGATTAACAAATTAACACATGTGGTTTTAACTTGAAGCGCTCCGTCCGTCTAAATGTGGGTCGACGCAGCAGGAAAACTCTCGTTCATCTATATGATAAAGAGCTGTGAGGGCTTTTTGTAAGTAATTTAAGTTTTAAATTAATAACTATTATATAAGTTTTAGTAATATATCTATTAGAGTGTGTGATGGTGTTACTGTGAGAGAGTCTCGTCCATCACACACACACACACACACACACACACACACACACACACACACACACACACACACACACACACACACACACACACACACACACACACACACACACACACACACACACACACACACACACACACACACACACACACACACACACACACACACACACACACACACACACACACACACACACACACACACACACACCACACACACACACACACACACACACACACACACACACACACACACCACACACACACACACACACACACACACAGCCTCTAAATTACTACTGAGTCTCTCTTAACCCCCCTATACACTTTGGTATGGAGTTTTATTTCATTTGAACACATTTGCATTTGCCAAAGACTAAGTTAAAGATATCTATATTTTTGATTGTCTGTTTTGTCGTTTTTTTGCGGGTTTTGCTATATTAATTCTGTCTCTAATGTGTTGTTATGTATTATCTTGTGACATTTGAGAATAAAAACAATTACAAATAATAATAAATGAATGAATACATTTCACTGTTATCACTATTCACTGTTTTATATATTTAATATGACTTTATTACATAATCTATTATGCCCATTCACTGACTGGGTCAGACTGTTCAGCTGTAGCTGCTCATGATGCTTGACGCCATCTACAGTGTTCACAACATCTACCTTCTGATTTGATTTGATTC